AGGCACCACTGGTGTCGAACTTGACTGAAACAGCATCAGAGAAGCAACGAACTCTAGTAGGATGGTCGGATGCCTTTTTGGGAGCCTAAACGCCTAAACGGACCCTTTCCCATCCTGGCACTTAGGGCAGCCACCAAGAAGTCCAGGTTACCACTAAGTAAGAAGCGAACGCAAAACTCACCGTTGCTGGGGGATGTTTCTCACAAAAACCCTGTGATCCTCAGACGTCCGGGTGTGGACCGGACCCCGACTGCGTTGGGACTCAGACTCCGTCGGATCCGAAGTGATGCCCACGCCGAGGTCCGTGTGGAGAGTGAACATAGAGATGTTACCAAGCAGAAACTGGATCTACAAGTCAGAGTTGGACCATAGAAAAACAAGTTGCTTGCTGCAGTGTGTGACCTTTCCTAGCGCTAGCGCTCCTTCCTTTCGCTTCTTCCTTTTTACTGCATCCAATCCATGCGTTCGCCCTGCAGGTGACGGAGGCTCACGTGTCACGCATCTCAACTGACCTACTGCAGCTCTCCAAGAGCCGAACCATTTCCCAGCGTCTCCAAGCCGCTGCCACCTCCAAAGCTGTTTGGCCGTCTGAAGTGGTCCCATCCTTGTCAGCGCCAGTCTCCAGCAGCAATCGTGCTACGTCCAAGTGGCCATCGCGAGCTGCGAAATGCAAAGCTGCAAGGCCAGCTGTTGTAGCAGAATCTTTGTCAGCGCCAGCTTCCAGAAGGAGCTGGACGGCTTCCAAATGGCCATTGCGAGCTGGAGAATGCAGAGGTCGAAAATCGCATTGTGCGGGTGCATCTTTGTCAGCCCCCATTTCCAGAAGCAATCGAAAAAATGTGACCGAAAAGAGCTGCCCCATGCAATGCTGTCAATCCGTTTTGCCCAGCAGCATCTTTGTCAAGACCAATTTCCAGCCGGAACCGCACTACTTCCACGTGATTGTTCAACGCCGCGGAATGCAAAGCTGTTTCGCCACCCAAAGTGGTTGCATCTTTGTCAGCGCCAGTCTCCAGCAGCAATCGCACCACCTCCAAGTGGCCATTGCAAGCTGCCAAATGTAAGGCTCTCCTGCCATGGTCGACTGCAGCATCTTTATCGACACCAGCTTCCAATAGCGCTTGCACCACTTTGAAGTGTCCATTGCGAGCTGCGGAATGCAAAGCCGTTTCACCCTCTTGAGTGGTGGCATCTTTGTCTGCGCCAGCCTCCAGAAGCGAGCACACCACTTCTAAGCGGCCATGGCAAGCTGCTAGAAGCAAAGCACCAGTCTCCAGCGGCAAAAGAATGCCGGTGTGAGGATCTTCTGCAAGATCTCTTGTGTTTGGGTCTAGTGGGGCCTGAAGCATCCTTTCAACCTCTATGATGCTGTTTTGTTCGCAAGCGAGGTAGAATGCCTTTGCTGTCGCTGCATCCGGTTCTTGAAAATCCAAGATCACCAAGTGCAAATCCAGCGGCGGAACTAAGGAAGCGTCATCCTGCAGCTCAGTCATGTCTTCCCCAAAAAGCCTCTGACGGAACCTCGAGTGCCCAACCTGAGCTGCGAGAAAGTGTTTCAAAGCTCTCACAGGCTTCTCACTGTCCACGATTGGACGCAACTCTTCCTCATGAAGCTCCGCCACCGTCTCACCAGACAAGACCGATACCCGCAGCATGGGGAGGCACCACTGGTGTCGAACTTGTCTGAAACAGCATCAGAGAAGCATCGAGCTTCTGACACACTCTAGACTCTAGAACCTGAGAAAAGGAAAGCCAAGTTGTTTTGTAGTTTCAAGCTTGCTTTGTAGACCTTTTGTCGAAACAAAGGCCCCAAAGTGGTGATGGACCATTGGCCCAAGTCGTGACCTAAAATCAGCTAGTAATTATCCTGATCCTATTGGGAAAGACTCATCCAAACCCCACTTCCCACAGCCGCCACCGCCGCCCTCGCCCACCTACAAACGTCACGTTTGGTCACGGCCATCGCGTCGACCTGGGAGCGACCACCGGTTTGCCGGTCGCCTTGGGACCCCTATAACGTGCTTCGTGAGAATGACAACTCAAAAAAGAAATCTAATACAATGACCGTACTTCACTGCCTAAGTGAGGCCGTGACGGATTGGGACCGCAAGTCGCGCTATCTAATTACTGTACATAAACAAAAGAGGTAAATTGCTATATACCATGAGCAAGTCCAGGATGTGCTAGTCCACTGAACTCAAATGTTTGCTCGATTGGTATTCACAGCTTGGGGCTGAACCTGGGTTTCCCCGCTGAGATTCCCAGATCATCGACCTGTTGCCTGTCTGTTGGCTCTTGCAGCTTGGTTCGCGGTTTTTCATCTTTACAAGGTGGTTGGTCGACAGGAAGTTCGTTGATTTGACAGTGGATGCGAACCCTGGAAGCCAATCGGTCACGGTTTTCCGGCTTCTTCCCGTTTCTGCCCCAACGTTTGAGTGGGCACCAAACTAGCTGGGCACCAAACTACCTCGTCCAAAACCATGAGGATCAGCGCCCCCCCACCGTGGTCTGCGCCCAACTCCCCTGCCAACCCCCGCGATCGGCAGAACTGCGGAGAACTCCAGTCGAACCACAACCCCGTGGGATGGAAAATGGTCGTTGGGAAGACGATTTTCCTCTGCAAACAGTGTGGTGTCCACTTCCATGGAACGTGAGTCGGAGTGAGTCGAAGTTTCGGTCAGCCAGGCAACCCATAATTTCGATTGGAGTCATGGGCTGACCACTTCGATAGGACAGAAGACAATTCAATGAGTCAATGAGCCAATCCACGTGCATTGTGAGGGATGAATCATTTTGGAGACAAATGGTGCTGGGGGAGCAATCACCGAGAACAGGGGCAGTGAAAGGAATACTTCTTTGGTGGTGAAAAATCAAACTGGACCAACCAGCAAATCAGGAGCCATGCCATTTTGATCCACCTACCAAAAGGTCATATCTTGGAAGACCTCATGTAACTCCCACCTCATTTTATATATCCGTCCGGAAATGTCAGAACAAATTCCCCGAAACGACACACCGGCCAACTGTGTCCATGGTTCTGCCGAATCTGGCTCCATCGGCCAACTGTTCAACAGCTCGGCCACTTCCAAGTGTCCACACTCAGCTGCCACGTGGACAGCTGTGTCACCATCAGTCGCTGCAGCCGCGTCGCACCAGCCTGTCGCTACAGCCGTCGCACCACATCCAACAGAGCTACCGTGCCACCCTGTGGGCATCTTTGTCAGCGGCCACCAGCAAGTGCACTATTTCCATGTGGCCAGATCCAGCTGCCAAGTAGCAAGCTGTCTGGCCCTGTTTGTTGATGGCATCTATGTCACCGCTTGCCTCTAGCAGCGAACGTGCCACTTCCAAGCGGCCCATGTCAGCTGCCACGTGCAACGCTGTGTTGCCTTCTCGCGTGCAGGCATCTTTGTTGATGCCGGCCTCCAGTAGCAATCGCACTACTTCCAATTGGCCACTCCAAGCAGAGAAATGCAAAGCTGTTTTCCCATCTTGCATGGAACAGTTCTTGTCTGCACGAGCCTCCAGCAGTAGTCGCGCGATGTCCCATTGGCCAATTTTCGCGCACATGTGCAAGGCTGTTTCGCCTTCGGCCGTCGCAGAATCTTTGTTAGCGCCAGCCTCCAGCAGCAAGCGTACCACCTCCAAGTAGGACCCCCAGGTGTGGCCCCTTGCAGCTGCCATATGCATGGCTGTCACACCATGTGCTGTGGTAGAATCCTTATCAGCGCCAGCCTCGAGCAGTAAGTGCACAACTTCTTTGCAACCATTCTGTGCTGCTCTCTGAAGTGCAGAAACCCCATCTGAATCTGTAGCATTGGGATCATGCAGTGATTGAAGCATCCTCTCAACCTCTATAAATAAGTTCTGCCCACAATTGCACAGAAACCTTTGCCTCTCTACTCCACCAGCGGCTTGAAAATCCAGGATCACCAAGCGCAAATCCAGTGGCACAAGCAAGGAAGCATCCTCCTGCAGCTCGCTCATGTCTTCCCCGAAGAGCCTCTGTCGAAACCTGGAGTAGCCAATCCGAGCTGCCAGAAACTCTTTCAAAGCTCTCACAGGCCCCTCACTGTCCACCATCGGACGCGACTGCTCCTCGTGCAGTTCCGCCACCGCCGCGCCGGTGGTCGCCAAACGAATCCGCAGCATTCGCCGCAGCGAAATAGAATCGCAGCATTCGCCGTTGAAGGACAGGGCTGCCGTTTGGACCCAAAGGCTGCGGCGTATTTTGCCACCCAAACACATCCAAGAAACTGCCGACCTGTTAGGATGCTGACCTGCTGACCTGGCTGGATTGGGGGATAGAGATGCATCGCGTGGAATGATGCGTACCTGGGGGGAAGGGAAGGGACACCTTCGCATGTCGGACACTCCCAGAAATCATGGAGGTGGATGGCACACCAGGCCATGGTATTCGACCAATGGTCCTCCAGCAGGGGCCGTCATGCCATCCACCTCCACCCTGAATACAGTAAGTTGCTCACTTTGCGTCATGCCACTGCGAGTGCCCCCAATCCTCCAAGGGTCTCCCTACTGAGACCTTGCTTCCGCGAAACATGTGTGGTAACCTGTGCCCAGTCGATGTATGTATCTTCTTTGAGGCCGTCGAAACATGTCGATCTCCAGACTGAGGACGTTCTTCAACAAAAAACAGCTTGCCCCATCCACTGCCCTGCCTCGAGAGGATTCCATCGTCACAGTGGTGGGGACTACATACCGCGCGTTCAGGGGCGAGGTGTCCAAAAAGGGCTGCGGTGGTGTCAAGGGCTGCGTCTTCGTTGATGGAAGAAACCAAGCTGATGAAGCTCTTCCACGATGGATCCAAAGAACCCAACAGTCATTGAAGGAACTCATCCACTGACCACTAAAAAGGCTGTGAGATCTCCCTCATCCAGGAGGCACTTCCCCCCGTTCAACACGGCTCTCCGGCAGCTTGTGCCACAGGTCATGAAACATGATGTCCATGTCCTCTCGGTGGAGGAACGAGCTCCATGCACCTCGTGCTTTAAGAAGTTCCGATAGTTCAGCTCCGGATATCGCTCCATCCTTGCGATCGCTCCGATCGCTCTGTGCCTTTTTAGGATCAACGTCGGACCCGTGGAAGTTGCAAGCTGGGGTCGATGGTTGCAACACTAGTCATCAGACTCGCTAGACTCTAGACTCCTGCAGTCCAAGACCGAGAGCACTCTCATGGGGTGAACACGATTGAAAGGGATCCGCCCCTCCCTTCCCCAAAGTTGGGTGAAATGTAGACCCGCCCCAGGATGGATGCCAGTACAGCATCCAACAAGCTCCGAAGCCCAAAGTTCGACCAACGCATCTTCCGAATTTGGAGAAAGGCCCAAAATTGTAGGAAAGTGCATCTCTCTGAGACTCTATAATGGAATTCGTCTTAAAATATGTGTCTTATTATGGGCCCCTGGAACAGCGCTCCAAATGAAAACGGGTTGCAAGTTGTGGACGAAAAACCTTTGGGCCTTTGAACTTGGCTCAACTGAAAAACAATCAACTGAGCTGTGCCAAGTTTCCCTGAGAGTGCAAAATAACTGCTTATACCCCTATTAAGTGGTGGATTATGACTTTCAGGTGCAGTAACATGAGTCCTTGGAAGTTCTGGGTTGGTTGATCGCCTGGGTTCCACCGCACGAGAACCAGCGGGGTGCTGGTTGAACCGTTGAACCGCCTTCTTCGCAGCGCTTCATCCGAAAGGGTCTGGACTTGGATGCTCTCCCCCGCTTGAGGCGTTGAAAGACCATGCATGGATCCCCGAAAATTCACCCAGTCACTGGAGTGCGCCCATTCTATCAACGGTCTTCACCCCATGCATTGTCTTTATTGAAAAAAAAAACATATACACCAGCCTCACCTGGTCAGATGAATGGTGAAGGTGTTGAACAATTTGAAGTACTCTTCCTCCAAGCAACTTGGAATGAACCCGTTTCCAAGACGGGCAGTTCATCCTGCGCCATCTTGAAAAACCCTACGCCCCCAGTAGATCCACCGGTTTTCATCGATTTGAGTGGAACAAAAAACACTTCTGATGGGCTCCCGGTCATGCGGGGTGGAGGACTGGTCCCCTGTCTCTGCGCAGCGCGTCTCTGCGCCATGCGCCAAGACACATCACCTGCAGCATGGCTGCACTGCGCCGGTCTTTGTCCTGGCACGCTGCGACGTTCTACGCCCGAAATAGATCGATCTCGCTTTCAACCACAAGCACCGCACCCAGGTACATGAACTTACTGCAGATCTATCATGGGCATCCGGCTTGGCCTCAGATCTGGAGTCTCAAAATTCTCAAAATTCTCAGTACAAGTAGTTCAAGTACCTGTCTGTTTGGTGTGCGCCCAGACCACTAAGCGACCCGCACGTGCGTGCCCGTTCACCCGCCTCCCGCACGCGGTCGGTGAGGCGGTCGGCCATCCACTGCAAGGGATCCATCAAAGGCATCACCTCAGAGCGCGATGCCAACGTGCCACGCTGCTGGGGCCACGCAACGTGGCCACGCAGGAGCAGAAAACACCGTTCCAAAACCCTTGGCCCACGCCGAAACCCTTTGGGATCCACAGGTTGTGTGGTGGAATTTCGAGAGAAAGTCTATAGCGCCGAATGTGAAATGTGGACCTTTCGCAATGGCTTCGAGTCAACTCCACTTCGAACCTTAAGGAAGAGAACGGCCGGGCCCCCAAAAAGAAGAGTCGTCCGCCTGCCGCAAAATTCGGATTGCGGAGGTCGCCTCCACCAAAACAACAAAGTTTTTTTTTGGGTTCACGAAACAGACCGACCAGACCGTTGTAGTTGGGACAGACGGTGAAACGCCTGGTAGTCCTTCGGCTTCATCCGGAAAGGCAGCAAGCACCTGAAGCCGGTGGATCAGGCGGAGAGCCTGGATCATCAGGCTTGATGTGACGCGATGTGACGCGTGCGAAACAAAAGAAGGGGGTGAAAGTTAGAGAGGCCTAGGCATGTGCGTATGTTTTATCCTGGGACGATGAAGTTTTTTTTGGCTGAGTATGTTCATGTCGGGCAGTTGGTAGAAACATGAAATGGATGGATGGATTCGTGGATGGATTTGGCTGCTGTATGGCTTGCTGGCACCAAAAGGATGTGGACTTGGCATTCAGACATTTGAGTGTCTTAGCGAGATGACACCTTCCAGTCTTGCAATTTCCTGTGAAGTTCTTGCTGAACTGGGTGTTCTGCATGGAGATCGGCTTTAGGTGGCCATTTAACGTGGCATCCGAATTTGCTCAACTCTCACGAGTCCTTCAGGAGTCTTGGGAGTTCTGTTAATGTCCAGGCCCAGTCTAGAGTCTGGGCACCTTGATATCCCGTGAGCTCTAGCTGACAAAGTATATACAGTAGCTTCTGAGTCATTGGCAAATATTCCTGGCACAATCCGAATCCACATGACGACGGTCCAATTGATTTTCCTCGTGGGGCTGACTCACAAGGGACTCCACAAAATGGCGCACATCCTGTTGATTGAACAGGAAGAACAGCTTTGTGGTAAAACCCCTGGCATCCCATATAACATCAAGACCAATGTGCCGATGCTGTGGAGGAATGCTTGGAAGGTCGGCCATTGTGGCCTTTCTGTTCAATCAATCTACAACTCACATGGAAGTGGAGTGAAAACCACCTGCTTGGTATTTGGAAAATGGTCATCCAAGAGGCCATTGTCCGCTTCCATGGTTATTTCAGGGAGTGTAGCTGTTAGAATCTGTTTGATCTATTTGAGACAGCACTGCCTAACTGGAGTTCGCACCAGAAAGACAGAAAAGCCTGTATTGCACAGCACGAGTTGGCCCTTAAGCCCAAAACGATGCGTGCTTGAAATTTGGAGACCCCCATCAAGACCTCAGCTTCTTCCATCGAATCATGGTCGCGACTGTGCGTCTCCAAATCGGTTGAGAAAGATTTCTTCCGGAGGACCCCTGTGACCGAGGGGTCACGGTTGGGAGACTGGCGCCGGTGGGTCCATCAAGACCTCAAAAGATCTCTCACAGACGTCCTCCTTGGCACCCGCGGCCGGTCGAACGAAGGTGGCGTCGATGCGTTGGTGACTCTGCCGGAGCGAGCGAAGGGGCCGAGAAGGCGACTCCAACTGCCCGGGCGGGTTGATGAGCCGTTCATCGAAGCGACACTGGAGGTCGCCCCGCAACAATGTCACAAGGGAAGAGGCTGGAGAGGCTTTGGAATGTGTTAAAGCATTGATCGATCTGCAAAGAGTCAAGATTTCAAGCAAATCAGCAAAATAGCAACTCACCGCAGCTGACTTCTGGTCAGACTTTAGGGAACCAGTGAGAAGGCACCTTGCTGATGGCATGCAGTAACTATCAAACAACCAAGAAGCACTTTTGTAAGATGCTTCACTCCGGCTCACTAACATGGAAGTGGAAACCACCCCCTTGGAGAAAATCGTCTAACCAAAGACCATGCCATCCATGAAACCGTGTGCTGTGTTCGTCGGAGGGTAGTTTGTGTCATTCCACCCCTGAACGACCCTGATTCATTCGTGCCGAACGGACACCAAGCTTCTCAGTGCCTTCCAGGAGCTCCAAGATCTCTGTGTTCGATTCACTTGGCTTGACCGACCGGGCGACGTCCATCGGACGTCGGCCTTTGGAGGACTCTTGGTCTCTATCGGCGCCAGCACGCAAGAGCAAAGCGACCAGCTTGGCATCTCCCATCTGGACTGCAAGATGCAAGGGATACCTCCGGCGTCGTGCTTTACAACGAAGGCTGTGCATGAGAATGGTGTGGGACCTCTGACTCACAAGGCACAAAGCTAGAAAAGTCTTTCAACACAACCCAAGCTTCAGCACTTCTTCCTCTGCGAAGAGGCAAGAAGGCCTAGGGAGGAAACGCCTGCACTCCTTCTCCTTTCCCATGCCATTCACATGCGTGAAGCCATTCTTCCACAAAAAGTCCAATAGCTCATGTTGCCTGGGTCACACTAGTTCTATGGCGCATGCAGCCTGGTAGGCGCGCTGGCAGCGCATGGTCAGACGGTCAGGTCAAATAGTCAGACCAACCCGATCGAACAGAGCATGACTGCCTAACCAATCGCTCACCCGCTGGGAACTGTGTGGGGCCCAAATGCGGAACATCACCCACCAATTACCCCCAATGCTAATCGACCACGCTAAAAACTGCTCTAAAGCTGTATTCCCCATCGAACAACAACAACAACAACAACAACAACAACAACCACAACCACAACCACAACCACAACCACAACCACAACAGCAGCAGCAGCAACAACAACAACAGCAAGCAACAGCAACAGCAACAGCAACAGCAACAACAACAATCGCTACCAAGAAAAGAGATAAGAGTTGCGCGAAATTAGAACATAGAGAAACAAATCAACCCAAGATGTCTTCTGTTTATGCAGCATGAGACTTGAGAACACCTCTGCCTACACCTGAGAGCCACCTTGCAGAGGGCCACATATGCTGACCCTAGCGGCTCAACGCGCCGCTTTGCACGCCGCCTGATGCACCCCCTGGTCGGTCTGGGGTCAACGTCATCATTGGCACCCCTATCCGGCTCATTCACACGCCCATGCTGGGCCAGAGAACAGCCACCCACCTCAGAGTTGCAACATCTGGACACCATCTTTAGATATCTTCTCTGTATCATGAATCTCCCCTTGCTGTCTTTCAGGGTTTTTCTACTACTATCTACTCAGCTTGAAAACAGTAATTCGCATCAACTTCTGGCCACGTTGAGTTGGGGCGGTTCTGCATCCGGCACATTGAGGCTGGGAAGTTGTCTCTGCACTGTGCACGTCAGCGGATGAGGCACTGGGCCGAAAAACATGGCGGCGGCCAATACCCGCTTGGGCCAAGCGCAGCTTGGAGCTCAACGTAGATCGACGTGTATTGGGCTGGTTTGAGGTGATCGACGTGACTGCCTGCACCCGGATACAGTAAATCAAAAGAAGACCAAGCGGTACAAGGGTGATTCAACCACATCAGCTTACGGGCCATCTAGGCCTCTTATATTAAAAGAAACAGCTTGTTCATTTTGAGCGATTAAACAGGGCGTGAATCGAGACCGAGGGCACCGAAAAAGGGTCCGGGTGACGCACGGAGAAGCCGCGTGCGCGTGGGGCTCCGCACATGTGCTGCGCCGAGATGACCGCCTTCACCAACTCCTGGTCGATGGGCTGCAGGGGCACCACGGGGATCGAGGGGATTAGGAATAACCGGCTGTTTGGGTTTGGGATTTCCACTGCATCTATAGCAAGCTTGGGATCAAAAACATATGAGTCAAGACCTACTGGCTTCGTTCGTGAGTTCGCTTCGCCCATCGAAGTCCCAACGTGCGAGTGACGTTCGCCGATCGGTCCTTCTGCTTTCGGCGGGACAGCATGGTGGTCCGCCGAGGCAGGATGTACCTTGCTTCAGATCAAGTAGAGGAAAGCTCGGGAACATGGTAAGCTCATGTGGCTCTTTGGATGAATCAGCATCTAAATATAGAATCTGCATCATGTGTTGGATGTTTACGAACAGCTTCTTTGGCTCTGAAGAATTTCTCTTGACCTTGGGTCTTTGGGGGGCTCCCAAAACCTCCACCTAATGGCTCCTTCCACCTCAACCCACACGTCGTCATTGCGTTTTCACCGCTACAACTCCATCCAACCTCCCCCGGTGAGGAGACCCCCCCCCTCCTACACCGGGCATCAGACAGCCACCTGACCACCCGTAAACAACCCGGTCCACGACCACCTTCCGTCCGTTCGGGTCCGGCCCGTTGTCGGCCAAGAAGTGTTGGATGATGTCCAGGTCCCGAAAGGTGATCCGTTCGTTCGCCAGCTGCACCTGGGACCAAGCGGAGGGACGGCCCGGGGCGAGAGCGGGCGCCGGGTCGATGGGGAGCGCGGCGATCGAATCCAAGCGCAAGGAGGTGGAGGATGTTCACATACTGAGGCTTGGTGGGTGACCAGCATTCCACCATGCCACTGCTGAGAGTGAGCCGGTCAAAGGAATGATCAAAAATCTGACATGAGAACCATTCGGCAAACTACAGACACAGAGTGAGACACTCCGTGCCAAACACATTGAGACTGGCCAACACATCGGGCAACACGAATTGGCCAGTTCTCAAACCCGAAACTTCCCCCCCACTCGATCCAGTTTGGCGGCCTTGCCTGCAATGGGCTCGGTTCCCAGAACTTGTCCGGAAGCCGAAAGGGCTTCGGGGGTTGATCAGGTACCTGGCCAAGGTATCACTTCGGAAGCACACAGACACAAACATAAGCATGCGGGCGTCGTGAGAATGTCAAAATGACGACTAATGAAGTCTCTGACTGCGTTCGTCCCCAGCTTCACCATCCTCCACTCAGTCACTAGCTACCGCAACCCTGGAGCGATCGTCGATCGTCGATCGTCCAGAAAGCTGTGTCAAATGCGGTGCACCCCAAGGATCCGGACTCTCAAAAACAAGGGTTTGTTACTAGTAACAAGTGCCACGCTAGTAGTAACAGGTGCCTTACTAGTAGTAACAAAAAGCTATTAGAATTAAAAAAAACTAAATTGGCCCGACCCCTGCTATGGAGGGTCCAAGGATCCTTACTGTGGATGAGCTCAGGTACACCGCACTTGATGGCTATGGGGCAAAACCTATCAGAATACCGACCGGTTGACCTACCGACGTGGTAGGTGAAGGTCCTTCCAAAAGGTGGACTGGTCGGGCGAACATAGTTTTCACAACCCATCTGATCAAGCTCATGGGTCAAATCCTCTGAACTAAAAAAACCGATGGCCTCCAACTTATTCTCTGACTGGCAAATCATGGCACGCCATGAGCAAGTCCAATTCGAGGACCACCGCCGCGCGCAGCGCGCGCGCCTCTTGCCGCTGGTGGATCCGGAAGGAGGAGCTGTAGGGATTATAGACTCCTCGAGACATCCTGCGGGCTGGCGACAAACCGTGACCACCGGTATTTGGGTCGGTTGTTCGGGAAGAGGCGATCCCTAACCACCGTGACCTAGATAATAATATATACTAGAGAAAGAGAGAGAGAGAGAGAACAAAAAGATAAAAATAGAAAGAGAGAGAGAGAGAGAGATCGTATGGCAATCCTACGGGCTGTAACTGCCAAAAGAGTGGAAAATCCGTGAAAAAGAAGGTGGGGTTCTGGCTTGTCCATTTGCGGACTGCTGCTGGCTGCGGGCAAACCATACACAGCCTAATGGCGAACTGCAGTCATGTGTGCGCGTGCGTGCGTCTGTCTCATGTGTACTCTGGTTTCATCCCCGACGCATTGGGGGGGCTGTCTCGTCCGAGGAGAACATTTCACCAATCGTGTTGGAGCATCTCTAGCGGCAGGCTTTGGTGAGATGGCTTTCTGTCCGAACAGAGTCTTGCCCCTTAGTGGGTAGAAGCTTTCCATCCCAGCAGGATGGTACTCCTTTTGGTGCAAATTTAGAGAAAACTGAAGCCACACAACTCTTACACTAGTTGTCCTGCAATTGCCCACTCCCAGTACACTGTTGATAAAAAAATGGATGGTTGTTGGTGACTGCCCTGGTTCATGGAGGAGAAGGAAAACTAGCTATTCGGATATCCTTCACAGCTCATTCTTATAAAAATATATTATCATATTAATATACTGTATACTTACATTGCCTTACATAGTAGGATTGCATCGCTCCTTCCACTGGATGGAAAGCTGCAACTTCCCCCGGCAGTAACACTGCAGTACATCTCATTCAAACTTGCGTCAGTCGGGAAGGGAACGAAGAAAAACGTCTCGAATAAAAACGTCTCACGTCGCAAGTTCCGTGTGTGAAACGCGCGGGCCACCGCAGGCTGTCCTTGCAAGGCTCCGCTTAATCTGGATCCGCGTCTGGCGATGGATGGTCCCCGACGCCCAGCAAACACCCGAACCGCGGTCCACGGCGACCCAGCGATCCGGGTCGCCGACTGGGAGGCGACGGAGGCTGGGACCGCAATTCTCTTGATTTGGTGTTTGGGGTCTGCCTCACACACCAAAGACCCACAAGGCAAATAACTACAGCCACTAGAGAGCTTCATAGAGCTTCTGCTCCTTACCACCCATACAAGTTCCAGAAACGCAAATCTGTTCGTGCAGAGGGCGACGAAAAGAAGTGTCCGGGAAATGGATGATCAGGACAGCAGTTGCGCATCCGCCGCGTCCTCTGCCGCATCTTTTCGCCCGCTTCTTTGGCCGGCGAACTCTGCGTCGTGACGCGGACGGTTCGTCAATGCCAAAGAACTGCTCTTTGGACCCCTCTGGAATTGGTGAAAAGTGCTCTGACGAGGGTATCAACTTTGCATGGACTTTTGAAAACACACAGATCCTCCCACGACCACAGTGGTGCTATGCACTGGGGTGCTGCCCAGTCTTTGGAAGATGTACTTCCAAGTAGAGGTGACCCGGAAAACAGCAGCCACGTTGCAAAGAAAGCTCTGTGAAGGCTATTAGTGCGGCTAGTGCAACCCTCAGTTTCAAAAGCCCTTGCACGGCCACCTAGCCTCTGAGAAGTACGATCATGCCTGTCCTGTACAGTACGATCACGGCGCAAGCCCCGGCAACACTGGTTTACCCGCTCAACAATGCGGTACTTTGCCACATTGGTGAGCAATGTCCAACCTGGCGGCAGAGTGGGCCACCTGGTGTGAAGAGACATGACCGGTTGGGATGGGTCAGAAGCCATGCGTGTTTCGCTTGCCAGTGTTCTGGCTTCTGGTGTCCGCCAGTGATGGTGGAATGGATTCTCTTGAGAACATCGTGAAAAAGGAGTGTCCCCCATGTGGTGCGATGCTTTCCTCCCAAACATCGAAGCATCAGCCTGCGGGTTTTTGGGTCGGCTCATCACCGATTGAACTGGGCAAGCACCCATTCCAAAATCCCAAAAAGAGTGAAAGACCAAGCAAAAAATAGCGAATGGTCTGGTTGGGTCAGTCTATCTCCCACCAGGTGGAAGCTTCTTCATGAGGCCGCACTCTCTGAGGCTCCCAGGCTGCATTTTGGGCTCTGGAAAGAGCTTCCAATAGGGCAGGAACGGCCTCAGACCGATGGACGAGCTGGCTCGCTGTGCCTCTCCACACCCGAGCTGAGGAAAATGGGGGTGAGAGCTTGCTCCGCCAATGTCACGGCTGCGCATCAAACCCTTCCCATATTTGTGAATGGATGAACGACAATAAATGATTCATGCTTTTGGTTAATAGGTCAATAGATTTCAATATGAAACATTCTAAAACTGAAGGTCTGAAAAAATCCACAGCTCACCTCACAAACCCCCCATCCCCCAACGACGGGGTGCCGCGCAGGTCGCTGCAGTTGGGCTTGTTACGCACCACCACTGAGTGGTACCTTCCCGCCCCCCCGGCTTCAACCCGCTTCAACCGGGTCAGGCTCCACGGCTTCTGGTGGTCGAATCCACAGCATGGATGAATTCTGGACGGGGAAACGAACACTGAAACCCGCCGAAGGTAGCCTCCGTCCAACCATAGATGCTACTCGATTGCCTTCAGAAAACGCTTTGGTCACTTTGGTCTTGGGGTCCATTCAGAGAGAGGCGGCTAGACTGCCTAGACTGGCAGTGGGAACCGCAGTGTTGGCGCACATCGCCGTGGGAGTGTACGTGTAGGTCGACCCACCGTTGGGCGCCACCAGGATGTGGCACTTCCCCGTCAGGAGCATGTCCTGGGCGTGTTTGGGAGGCGGTGTGGGGGGCTGGCTCTGTTTGCAACAAACAAGACCGCAATGGACCTGGCAGAGGTTTGAGGTCACTTGATGTACGTCTTCTCGACTTCTCTCAAAGAAAACCATTGTACAGTAAGAAGTAAGTGAGGAACCACCACCCCAGGTCTACATTCTGGCCTTTCCAGCCAATCCAACCGGGCCGCTCGGAGGTTTACCCCCCGAACTCGCGCTCGCTCGGGTTTCACGCTCAGGCGCCTTGTAGGCCGTGCTGTCATCCTTCTGAGCTCTCACCGACCTGGCTCCGCCACCGGGTGTCAGTTTTAGGGGGACCCAGCAACAACCAGGACTGCCAGCAAAAGAAATGGAAATCGATTCAACGATATACATATATTAAATCAATTACAATAGATGGAATGTGATTGAAATCAGTTTAATGATGTTAATATCCCTCCAGTTGGACCGAAATGATGTTTCAAGGCCCTTTGTGCGAAACGGAGGTCTCCAAAGGCCAGGCCGACGCATCCCAGGAGGGCCATGTCACGTTGACCTGGGCGTCGTCGGGGTTCACCGCTGTCGCTCGTCCGTGGGGACCAAGCTGTATGAAGTGAATAAAAGGTTCAGAGTACGGAGTACCTGGTATAGTTGAATACAGTACTTGTTTTCACCATGCCCAAACAGTGAAAGTGGAATGAAAACCTAATTATGGGGATATGTATAATTAAGTAGATACATCGCCACATGGGAGTGCTTGCCTGACTGTGAGAGGTGCCAAGTCTCATCGCTGAGACCGGCCGCCCGCAGTTAAGGTTGTTTCAAACCACCCGGCCTCGGCCCGTCGACCGGGGATGAGACTGCTGAGCATGACGCGTGACCGACGTGTGTGCAAACACTCGGCTGCCGCACTCCAGGGTAGGTAGCTTTGACCTCCGAATGGAGCGGACCGAGTTTCTAGCGGGGTGATCGGGGCTGTTCGGATGGCAAGTCCTTGACATGCTGGGACCTTGCCCGCAGAAGGAAAGAGTTCTTGGAGCTCTTTTGATGCTCAGGATGTTTCGCTGCTCACCATCAACTTAGCCTGACGTTCTTGGGGGAAAGGTTTCTCCCTTGCACCTCGAGCCAAGACCCTACAAACGGAAAAGGACCTAGAGCCGCTCACGTCACGAAGAAAGATCCTCCCAAAACATCATACAAGACATTACGAGACTCTCGTCTCATCCGCAATGACAACCATCTATGACAACCTGGTCTACTGGTAGGTTGCTATCTATAAGTGTTCGCAACAGAAAAAAAAGGCCGCGCAGATCTGCGCGGGTCGGTCCAAATTCATGTGGCCTGCGCTACTGACGAGTCATGGCCGTCTCTGACTGTCTTTGGCCAGTCGGTCGGCCTATCGTCTGGTCGCATTCCCCCGTGCCACGCCGGACGCCGGACACCGTGCCTTCTCTCTGAAGTTGTTGCTCATGGACGCCACGTGGATCACCTCGAAGTCCCACGAGAGACCAGCTGAGTCCAGTCATGGGCCGCAATTCGAAGGCTCAACCAGGAGACCAAGCAGTTTGCGCGAAGACCCAAAACATGGGGCGTGCTACACATGTCTCGCACAAGAAACGAGGCTTGGAACTACCAACGGCTTTGTTCACCAACGACTGCAGCAACGCTGGGACCCGGACCAGCGTGCCGGGCCACCAGGGGGCCGCCTTTTGCGTTTCGCGATCTGGATGCGCATTTCAGGGAGATCCCCCGGGTCTCGGCTGGGACGATTTCCCTGTTCCAGGAATTCCAATTGGGAGGTCTCCATGCTTTAAAGGCATCTACCATCATAAGCTATCTACTTTGGGTGGCTTGGGGGATTTGGTGCGTTTTTAAAGCCACATGTCGGTGTTTCACCGGAATGCGGCGCAGAATACATACGGGATGTGCCCCATTTTCAGACGGGTCAACTCAAACAGGACGAGGCCGATGTAGGCCGCCCGGTGGAGGGTGTGAAGAACTTGGGGCAAGGGTCTGAAAGCTTGGGCCGAGGGTCTGAAAGCCATAGGATTTCTTGCTTTCTTCAACTTTCTTCTTTTATTCTTGCTAGGGGCTGTTAGGGCTGCTAGGTGCCTCTGGGAGGTACAAAGAAAATCATTGATCTTTTTGAGGTCCTTGCAGGGAGCGTACAAAACCAGCTGAGCGTGAAAACTCACCCAGCCAGCACCCCGGCTGAGCACCCTGCCATCATCTCATCGATACCTCGGCTCATTGTGGGCAGATTCCTCCCACAGTGGATTCCTCCCACAAAAAAGCTTGTATTAAAAGAAAGAAAGAAAGAAAGAACAAACGAACGAACGAACGAACGAAAGAAAGAAAGAAAGGTCTATTATATTTAAAAAAAAACAGGCCTCCTCTGGTACAGGTCTCACCCCGCAACCCTGAAAACTCGCATCCCTGTATTTCATCAGAACAATGGGGAATATTGGGGAGTGTGATACTTGTGATACTTGTTCCAAAATCCATCCAAAGATGCCTGCAAAAGCCCTAACGGCAACCATGTTGTGAGTTCCAACAAGAACATCTCTTGCTCCTCCCTCGAGAAACTCCACCGCAGCTCTGCCTCCCAGTGAGGTGCATCAGGCATGGTTTCAAGAGGCTGAGGAGATCGCTCCAATCCCCGAAACTCCCACTCCCTATGCCGCTCTTCAGTCGTTGTTGAGGGGAATGCCCCTGGCCCTTTTGCTCTCCTCCGAAGAGATCCGATCCCAGTCACACGCTTTGCCGTTCTCAAACTCCGTGCGCGAGCCCCAGCCTTCAGCCAGGCAAAAGAAGAAACGCAAGATCTCGTCTATCAAACCACTCGGGAGAGAGAATCGACTCAGGTTCTTGCCACTAGAACGCAGGAGTCTTTCATGGATTCCTAAGGTTGTAGGTGCAGGATTTGGACACATGCGCTTTTGATCCCTTTCCCCATTGTCCATCCGCAATTACCCCTTCAAAGGCAAACCGCCTGCTCAATTATCGTGGCATGAATCCAGTGGAGTAGGTCGCCACCCCGTGACTCACGTGCAGCAGTTGGTCCATCAACAATATCAGATTTACATTCCCCACGTGGACTCCCTAGCTTTTTAGGGCCTTTCTGTGGCACTCCCTAGCTCTTCAGCCCAGGTTGAGACAGACCATGCTTTCCGCTCAGATCTCTT